ATCCCAAATTTGAGCCCAGGCTGGGGATTTAACTCAGTGGCACAGCGCCTGCCTGGCAAGCACAAGGTCGTGAGTTCGATTCCTGATACCGGAAAAAAAAACCAAACAAACCAAATTTGAGGCTAGACTGAGCAATTTAGTGACTTAGTAAGACCTTGTGTCAAAATAAAAAATAAAGGATTATGAACCAGGTGTGATGGTGCGTGCCCCTCAGGAGGCTGAGGCAGGAGGTTCACTGAGTTTGGGACTGGGCCCTGTTTCAAAGGGGTGGGGGTGAATGTAGTTCAGTGAGAAGATCCTGGGCTCAATCCCTGTACCACAAAAAGAAGAAAGAAAACATGTGTTAGCTTGCTACATTTAAATTCTAAAAGTAAAACACCACAAATCCTTTTTTTAAGTCTTACATGAATTGTTGTTTATTTTTATGTATTTTTTGCTTTTTTCCCCCTAACCATATGTCTGTATTTTCTCCTTTTTTGTTTTGGTTGTTGTTGTGTTGAGCGTTGAACCCAGGGCTCTCACACGTACCATTGAGCTATATCCCAAGCCCTTTTTTTGTTGTTGTCATTTTGAGACAGAGTCTCACTAAATTGTCCAGGCTGGCGTCAGACTTGCAATTCTCCTGCCTCAGACTCTCGAAGAGGCAGACTGGAACGTGTCAGAGTAGTAAACTGCTCGATGTCTCAGTTAACCATTCTTAGTAAGATGTTGTTCTGTCCTAAGTTGCATCTCTTACATTAACGATAAAGTCTATTAACATTGAGCTGGACATAGTAGCACAAGCCTATAGTCCCAGTACTTAGAGGCTGAGGCAGGAGGATTGCAAAATTGAGGCCAGCTGGGACAACTTAGCAACTCCATGTCTCAAATTGAAAAAAGTGTTTGGGGTATGGCTCAGTGTTAGAATGCAGGCTTGGGTTCACTATCTAGCTTGCAGGAAAAAAAAAAGTCTAACATAATGACATGTAATTTGAAGCAAGATGAGTATTTCTAAATGATTTGAAATGAAGTTCAAAACTGTATTACAGGTTTTCTACTGTTCTAATCTTTGGTCATGTTGGGATGTAAAATTTCAGCCATGCATGATTAAAATAAATACTGAGTTATATTTCATTTGACAATAAGTGCTTCCTCTGACCTACTTACTGAAAATACAAAGGTATGAGTAAGGTATACCTGTGGCCCTGTGTGTTTGTTTATAATTACTTTATGTTTTTATGCCTCAATGGTATGTGACATGTATTCAATAAATACTTGTGAATTGACTGTTCTTGAAAAACTTGTTGGCTGGTGAGAAAGTTAGACGTAAAAAAAGATTTTAAAAAATTACAGTGCAAATAAAATATGTAATAGTAATTAAGAGAAATCTGTATTCCCTAGGGAGTGAATGTCACCATTAGTATTTGCCTTTTCTCCTAATTTTTATAATTTTAAGAAATGATATCACTTGAACATTTTAAGGAAAAATGAAGTGTACTTTGGTTTAAATAGTTCTCTTGTTTTCTTTTTATCCAGACTCTCAGATGTAGGTTGTTTCTGGGAAACCAGGCAGGAATTGGAATGTGTTATGTTTTTAAACCTGCTTCTGTTCTGTTTGACTGGCATTTACTGTTTTCTGTGTTTCATTCTCTCACCTAATCTCTTCCTTTCTAATCTGCTTACTAAAATGAAGATTTAACATCAGAAGCCGGGCTCAGTTACTGATGAAAGGGAACTTTAAGATGCAGTTGTGGCGCAGTGTGGGCTGCTAACCTGCTCTTTCAAGGTGATGCTTTAATGGCTTTGCTGTGCATGTGCATGGTTTTGTGAGTGGTGGAGACTGTCTGCAACTGTGCTGTGCTGTGCTGTGCTATGTAAAGTGAATTTGTTCTCTGGGGATGCTGACAAAAGGGGGACTTGATGAAAGAATCTTGGTATATAAAAACTCCCTTTGGCCAATGGCTCCACTAAAGTGTTTTGGTAGATGACATTAATGTTACCAAAATAAAAACACTTCTCAAGGTTCCTAAATTTAAAATAGGTTGGTCTACTTCTGCAGTCTAGTTCTTGTCAAAAGTAAAGAAATTCAGGCTAAATGCCTGTCTCTCAATAGGAGCTTGATTTCTGGTTCCTGAATCAAGATTTTCTTTCTTAAAGTGTTGCTTCTAATGATTGAAATTCTCCATGATTTAGAGCACTACCAAATGAAGACAATCTAATTGTCTACCAATTGACAATCTAGTCATCCTAAATCCTATTTAGAATAAGGTGGGATATAAATTTTAAATATTGTCATATGTAATATCTTCTCTTTTAAAATAAATATTCCCAAGCTGGGCATACTCGGGAGGCTGAGGCAGGAGGATCGTTGCAAGTTCGAGCCCAACCTGGGCTACAAAGTGAGCTTAAGGCCAGCCTGAACTGCATAGAGAGACCCTGTCTCAAAAAAAGACAACAAGAACAGAAAAGATTCCCACCAGGCATAGTGGTGCACGTCTATAATCCCAGCACTTGGGAGGCAGAGGCAGGGGTATTGCCTCGAGTTCTAAGGCCAGCCTCGGCTACATAGTGACCTCAAGGCCTCCCTCCCTCTCATATGATAATTCATATGTGTATAATCCCCTTTTTATGTATGTGAATTACATAGAGAGCCTGTCTCAAAAATAAATAAATTACATAAAAGTAGATTCCTTTCCCTACACGTTATAATTTGTTCCATAATTCTTATTATATCACATCATAGCTTGCTATGATTTTGTGTTCAATTAATACAGAGCTAACTATTCTTAATTTTTTCATGAGAGTAAACTCTTTAGTTACTTTAATGTATACTGTAATGTCTCCTTGATTTTTTTTTTTCCCTCCTTGGTTTTGGATCTTTATGAGAATTATAAAAGACTGTGATTAAATGTAAAAAAATGAAGTATCTGAATGTACCTTTTATTTTCTGCCTTTTTTTCCTTTCCTATTATTCAATCATCTAACACTCTGATCTCTCTCTCCCCCCATATTATAAGTCATATTTGTATAATCTCCTTTCTCCTTACTATAAAAGAATAATAGGTAATATTTGGTTTTCCTTTCGTTATTTTTATTCGGTGCTAATGATGGCAGTCAGAACTAGGGAAAGAAATTTAAAGTTTTTGTTCCTATGTCTTGACAACTATGTTTTCTGCTTTTATAGCAGCTTCTTGAATTCATTAAGAGATATTTAAAATCTTTTTTTTTTTTGGTACTGGGAATTGAACTCAGGACCTTGCAGGTGCTGTGCCACTAAGCTATATCTCTGGCCCCTAAAATCCTTCTTTAAACCTTACCATTCTTAATAAATGAGGCGTTTAAGTGAAAAAAAGTGATAGCTAAACATGATTAGATTTTAGCTGAGTGTGTGATCCCAGTACTCTGGGATGCTTTCAGGATTGAGCTTGGCCAGGGCAATGCAGCAAGATTCTGTCTCAAGAAATAACAAGGGGTTAGAGATGTAGCTCAACACGAAAGCCTTGGAGTCAATCCCCAGTACTCGAAAAAAATTAGATCTCTGAAAACTAACAATCAGGTGTAAATCTTTAATCTTTAACTGTAAATCTCTACCTTTTCGGATGGAATTATCTCATTAAAATTAATCATAATTTTTTTTTTTTTTTTTGGTTTTTTTTTTTGGTTTTTCTCCGGTACCGGGACATAATTTTTTTTTTTTTTAATTTGATTAAAAATTTTATGATGTAGGCTAATTCTTTCCCAGAAGGGGCTGTAAACTTTATCTTACAAGTCTTGTCAGGTCAGAACCATTTTTCTTAAAACAGCTTAGACCTAGATGTCCCTTCTGTGGTCATATTCTAACTGTTTTCAGCTACAAGTAGATCTCAGAGCTAAGGTGTATCAGTGGGTGAGGAAGTAAACATACTCACTGGTAATCTGTGCGCTTAACGGGAATGAACTATAAGCTATGGGTAGAGTTGAGGTTGGAACCTTGGTAGACCAGGGACCTATATAGTCCTGCCTCGGCCTACTGTCTTTGTGTGCTAAGACTGAGAAACCTGCTGTCTCTTTAGTTACTTTGAACTCAGACACTCTGTCTCCCATCCATTCCACAGTCTAATGCCCTAACAAAAGCCCCAGGTTGGGGGTGTGGCTTAGTGGTAGAGTGCATGCCTAAGCAAGTGTGAGGCCCTGGGTTCAATCTGTAGGCTCCAAAAACGAAATCTTACAGTTACTTGCTTTCTAATAAGCTAATATATTGTTTCCTTTTGTACCATTACTCTGCTTTAGAATTTTCCCAGGGACCTATCATTAATACAGAATGCATGTAAATTGGCTTCACTAAACTAATAGATAGTATATGAAAATACTCATTTAAAAATTGCATATCCCACCTTGTTCCAGGAACCTGAGATGCCGTCCAAGAACCTGACACTTTTTTTTAAAACTCTTCGTTAACCCCCAAGGAACTTTAAAAATCAAATATTTGCATTTTACTACTTGCTATAGCTTAGTAAAGATTTGGTAGTGAAGATTTGGGCCTTGTAAAAATGATTTAAAATGAGCTGGGTGTGGTGGCACACACCTGTAATCCCAGCACTCGGGAGGCTGAGGCAGGAGGATCATTGCAAGTTCAAGACCAGCCTGGCCTACAAAGGGAGCTCAAGGACAGCCTGAACAGCATAGCAAGACCCTGTCTCAAAAAGACAAAAAAAAAAAAGATTTATAGCCAAGTGTGGTGACACACACTTATAATCCCAGCATTTGAGAGTCTGTGGCAGGAGGATCACTGTGATTCTGAGGCCAGTCTGAACTATGTAACGAGACCTTGTCTCAAAAAATAAAAATTATTAAAAAAAAAAAAAAAAAAAGGATTTAACATCAGTGTGTTTACAAAGAATCCTTTTCTTGTCGTATATTGCTGTGAGGCATAGATAATCTAGATTTAGCTCTGTGCAGTTTTTCTGCTAAAGGTGTTAGGGACATCCTTAAGGTGATGAGTATTAATAATTACAACTGTCCCTCTCCTAACTCTTCCATAGGACGAAGAACTTTGAGTCTGGCAAGGCCTATAAGACAACATGGGGAGAAGGTGGAGGCAACTCACCTAGCAATGTGGTATCCACGCAGCCAGCCCGTGTCACAAACGGGCAGCCTCAGCAGCCAGCCACTGGAGCCACCAGCGGCGGATACATTAAACGGTACACCTCCCATGTTTCTGCATCTTTCCTAGTGAGTGCTGGCTCACTTTAGGAGCTATGAATGCACCCTGTTTCACCAAATAGAAATAATATCTATTCCATTGAAACTGCTTTTAAATACGTGCCAATTGACAAAATGTTGACTATGGTTATTGTCCAAATTTATGCTTTTCAAAGTATTGTGGCCATAGTTCCAAAACTGTTATACAGATTTAATGTAATTCCAATCAAAATTCCAACAGCATATTTCACAGAATTGGAGAAAACAATCCTAAAATTCATTTGGAACCAGAGTAGATCTAGAATAGCAAAGGCAGTTCTGGGTAACAAAGGCAAGGCAGGGGGGGCATCACAATCCCTGATGTGAAATTATACTACAAAACTGCTGTGATAAAATCATTGTGGTGCTGGCAATAAAACAGAAGTGTAGAAAATCAATGGAATAGATTAGAAGATGTAAAAACAGCTCCAGACACACTCACTTATCTTTGACAGAGGTGCCAAACACATTCACTGGAAGAAAGATAGCCTCTTTAATAAATGGTGCAGGAAAAACGGCTCTGCACATGCCAAAGGTTAAAATTGGACCCATATCTTTCATCATGCTCTAAACTAAATATGAAATGGATCAAAGATCGAAATATTAAAAGAGAAACATTAAATCTGCTGGAAAATAGAATAGGTAAAACTCTTGAAGACAGGGGCTGGGGATTTAGCTCAGCGGCAAAGCACCTGCCTGGCAAGTGCAAGGTCGTGAGTTCGGTTCCCGGTACTGGAGAAAAACCAAAAAAAAAAAAAAAAAAAAACAACTCTTGAAGACATTGGTGCAGGCAAAGACTTTATGAATAAAACCCCAGTTGCATAGGAACTATCGTAGAGAATCAACAACTGGGATCTCATCTTAATAAACAGCTTTTTTACAGCAAGGGAAACCACCAACAGCAAAGAGAGAAGCCACAATCTGGGAAAAAACGTTTGACAGCTCTTCCTCAGACAAAGGATTACTATCGAGAACATATAAAGACCTCAAAAAAATCAGACCTCCCAAATTTAAAGACACAGTCCGAAAATGGGCATCTGAGATGAATACTTCTCAGATGAAGAAATTCAAAGTATTGGGGGCTAGGGATTTAGCTTAGCGGCACAGCATCTGCTTGGTAAGTGCAAGGACATGAGTTCGATTCCCGGTACCGGAAAAACAAACAAACAAACAAAAGAAATTCAAAGTATTAACATAGACCTGTTTACTTTTATAAAGAGGAAAATATGTTGCAAGACATATTATCTAGAGCAGGGATTGGCTATATTCCTGTAAGGATATTGGTTAAGGGCCAGGTAGTAACTATTTCGGATTGATCAGATTATATAGTCTTTGTTGCAATTACTAAACTCAGTTGTTATGAGGTTAAAGCAGCCAGAGATAATATGTAAAAAAAGAGTAACAGAAGCCTGGGGTGGTGTGCACACCTAAAATCACAGCACTTGGGAGGCTAAGGCAGGAGGGTGACTATGAGTTCAAGGACAGCTTGAACTACATAACAAGACCCTGTCTTGAAGAGTGAAGGAGTGAGAGACTTCATTTGAATAAAACTTTATAAAATCAGGTTGCAGGCCAGATTCAGCCCTCTGGCCAAAATTTTCCAACCTAGTTCAGAGCCATATATTTTAGATCTAAGCGTGTATTAGGATCATTTGAGGACCAGCTGTGGTGTTGCATGCCAGTAATTCCAGCTATTCAAGATGCTGAGTGAGGCAGGAGGATCACAAGTTCAAGGCAAATGAACAAGACCTGGACTCAATAAAGTAGAGAAGGGTTGTGGATATAGCTTAATAGCAGAGTACTGCTTAGCGTGCTTAAGGACTTGAGTGTAATCCCTAGCACCACTAAAAAGAAAAAGATTCTCATTTGAGGGTTTATTAAAACAGAATAAAGCCAGGATTAGTGGTGCACACATATAATCCTAGCATTCAGGAGGTGGAAGCAAAGTGGATCACAGGTTTAAGGCCAACCTGAGCTACATAGCAAGATCTTGTTTAAAAAAAACCATCTGGGTGTGATGGTGCACACTTAGAATCCCAGCACTTTGGAGGCTGAGTCAGGAGGATTGACATGAGTTTGAGGCCAGCCTGGGCTACATAGTGAGATCCTGTCTCAAAAAAACAAATCACACCAAAAAAAACCCAGTTTGAGTTTGGAGTGTTGGCCTGCTTTTTTAGTCCTAGCTACTCAGAGACTGAGGCAGGAAAATAGCTTGAGCTCAGGAGCTCAAGGCCAGCCCAAACAACACGGCAAGACCCCCCTGATAAAAACAACAAAAGCAGATGCTGGGATCCATCCACTCACAGTTTCTGATTGAGCAGTTCCGGGATGGAGTGTGACAACTGGCTTGTTCCTGTGTCTAACAGGTGCCTAGGTGATGCTGGGAATCACAGTTTTAAACTATAGAAAATTTTCCTAGAAAGAATAGAAGCCTGTTACCCCTTGGATTTAACATTTGTTGAGTATCACTTTGGTTACTTATTTTTATGAAAATTAAATCCAGAATGAGACTGTTACATTATAAGAAGTACTGAACTCACTTGTCTGTTTGTGGTAGTATAACCAATGATGCCAGAGAGGAGGAGATGGAGGAGAACCTGACTCAAGTGGGGAGTATCCTGGGAAACCTAAAGAACATGGCCTTGGACATGGGCAACGAAATTGAAGCTCAAAATCGACAAATAGACTTGCTCGCGAAAAAGGTAAAACTCATTTATAGCCACAAGAAAATGAGACATTCAGTTTGGTAAATATTTTAGGAATGGTCCCCTGTGATAGGTACTGTAGAGGAGAACAGCAGGAGACATTCTTGTGTTTATAGGACCTATAATTTTGATGAGTTTTGGTGAAAAGCTTCTAACACATTGAAAAAACAGAAGCCGAGTTATCTCATCTTATGTCACTTGGTTCATTTTGAAGCCACAGTCTTGGAATGAAGTTGTTTTATTTAAACTTTGACACATAAAGTTTAGAATCTAGCAGTTGAGTGTCTTCCCCTACACCTCACCAGTGGCTGTTAGCTTTTAGTGTTTATTCATTTGTTTGTTTGTTTATTTTGAGACAAGGTTTCACTATGCAGTTCAGGCTAGCCTTGAACTCACTGGGTAGCCTCACAGTGATCTTCCGGCCTTAGCCACCTGAGTGCTAGGATTACAGGCATACACCATCATGCCTGGCTAGTTTTATTGTTAAGTACTAATTAGTAATAAGTTACAGAATTCACATCTCAGGAAAGAGCAAGAAGCAGTTCTGCAAAATAGTCCTTGTACAGGAGACAAAAAACAGTCATAAGAGTAAATAAAAATTGTGATTCCTTTTTAAAAAATTTTACATGATATAAAAGATACTGATGCCTATAATCCCAGCTCTTGGGAGGCTGAGAAAGGAGGATTGCTGTGACTTTGAGGCCAGCCTGGACTACAAGGCGAGACCCTGTCTCAAAAAAAGAAAAAAGATACTGAAAGACAAATGCTTTTCAGTGTTTGGATGAGTCACATCAAAATGTCACACTTTAAAGCCAGGCATGATGGTGCATACCTAAAATCCCAGCACTGAGGAGGCTGAGGCAGGGGGATCACTGAACATTCAAGGCCAGCTTGGACTACATACTGAGACCCCTCTCAATCAGTCAATAAATAAAATATAAAATATAACAACCCATTGATTATAAGATGTAGCTCTATTTCAGACATGTTAAACTATGAAAAAATGCATTATAGAATTGATAAAATACTGAGCTGGGTGCATGGGTGCATGCCTATAATCCTAGCACTTGGGAAGCTGAGGCAAGATGATTGCTGTGAGTTTGAGGCCAGCTTGGGCTACATAATGACTTCAAGGCCAGCCTAAACAATATAGTGAATTTGAGACCCTGTCTCAAAAAACCAAGGGAAAAAAAGAAAAAGAATTGATAAAGTACTGGAGAATTCTTTTGTTACACCTTTGTTGTATTTATATACTAGGGTTTTCCCAAACAAGTTTCATATTCTTTCACTTCTTACCAAAATGAGTTCTGTAATGTGACTTAAAGTGTTTCTTGTATTTTCTTAGTGTGTCAAGTGCTCCAAGTTCATGAAGTTTAACTTTTCCCCCTGGTGCTGAGGATTAAACCCAGGGCCTTACACTCGCACAGTGTGCACTCTCCCCTGACCTACATCCCTAGCCTAAACTTTACTTTTGTTAAAGTGGCTTACTTGTGCAGTAATGCTGATTATCTTTTTCTTTTTTTCAGGTTGAAGTCAGCAAAGATCGTATTGACGTTGCCAATACCAAAGCAAAGAAACTCATTGACAGCTAAAGCTACTGCTGTACTTCCTTACCATTTATTTGCTTCTCCATTTGCTCCTCCTCGCCATTGCCTTTTCAGAGTTGGAAATTTTGATCTAATCTGAAATTTTGTGCTAATTGGGAGGTAATGTAGAAGGGCCGGTGGAGTAACAGCCTTTCTACTTTATTTTTTGTTTCTCTTGAGGGTAGAATATGCTCAGCCTTCACTATTTTCTTTTTCTATTCATATTCTTAGATTGGTTTTCATACGTCACATCTAGTGGGAAAGGAGAAATATCATCCTCTTCGCCTCAGCAGGTTCTTTTGCTTTCACGATTTGGAAGCATTGCCAAAGATAGCCTTAAAGAAGGCAGCTGTGGAGGTATTTTTTGTTTTTGTTTGTTGGCTTTGGTTTGTAGTAAGTGAAGGACAAGAGAGAAGAGGTTGTTACCTCAGTAAAAATATGCAGGCCACAAAACAAAAAGTTGCATAGCCACAATAAAGTCCTAGTCATGTTCAGTTTTTTATTTAAGTTGCTGTTTTTGCCAATTAAGGTTAGTTCTTGGTCTTGGAACTTTTATACACAGTATCTTTATCCTACATCACCATTTTGTAACCCCTGCCTCAAAGAGTTGAAGAAAATGTGTTCTTTCTCAAGCTTAGCTGGACATGGTGGTGCACACCTGTAATCTCAGCCATTGGGAGCTTGAGGTAGGAGGATCACCACAAGCTCAAGGCGAGCCTTGAGTTCAGAGCATTTTGAATTCTAGAAATTCATCCATGTATATAGATTCTGTGATCCCAGTTCATATTGCACATGCAGGAACACTTTGTACAGATGTGTGGCTTTTTATTTTCATATTAGTAGTAGTTTCACAGCCCCTTTACAGACCTATTAACCACATAAGCTAGTCACTAAAGTTTGAAGAAAAAATGTAAATATATGTGTGTAACACAAGAATCTCTAAAGCAAGGCTTAAATTTTTTTTGGAAAAGTTGACAAAATACATGAATTCAGATTTACCTCAATGCTAAGAATTATGTTTCGACAGGAAACAGCAAACTTACTTTGATCTCAGGTAGAAAAATAGATTTCTTTCAGTTTTATCTAGCTTTCTATGTTTCAAAAGTTAGAATGGACTTATTGTCCTACTAAAAATGATTTGGAAATTACATCTTTGGCTTAATTATTGGTGATTTCACTGTTATTCTTTTAGCCTTGTGTAGCGAACTATGTCCAGAATTGAGTTGTATGTAGATCCCAAACATTGTTATGGGAATATAATCAGTATTTGTTACCTTTATTTAAAAATTAGCATTTGCACACCTCAGAGCTGTCAGTGTGGATTCGTTCCACCAATAACCACTCTTTGATTCTTATAATTAAATTTTGTAACTGACTAATGGTCTTCTTCTTTCAAATAGGTACTTGTCTCTGTGCCTGTTGTTTTAGAGGCAATAATTTCATTAGCTTTCGTTTAACAAACTGAGTAAAGCAGAATTCCATAAATCAAAAAATACTTGAAGCTGAATGTGGTGGTATATGCCTATAATCCCAGCTACTTGGGACAGTGAGGCAGGAGGATCACAAGTTCCAGCCCAGCCTGAGCAACTTTTAACTTCGTTAAACAAAAAGAGGTTGGAATATAGCTCAGTGGCACAACACTTTCCTATCATACATGAAGCCCTGGGTTGAACCCCAATACTGCAGAAAGACCCCCCAAAAACAAAAGTGCTCCGATATATACCCACCATTGGCTTCTTTCCAGTTTTTATCAGAAATATTTACAGGAGCTGGATATGGCTGCCCAGTTCTAACTCCAACACTCAGGAGGCTGAGGCAGGAGGATTGCAGCAAATTTGAGGCCAGCCTGGCCTATATAGTGAATTCAAGGCTAGCCTAACCTACATAACAAGACCTTGTCTGAAAAAAAAGAGGGGGATTGTTACCTCAGTAAAAATGTGCAGGCCACGAAACAAAATGTTGCATAGCCTCAATAAAGATCTAACAATATTTAGTTTTTTATTTAAGTTGAAGTTTTCACCAATTAAGGATAGTACTTGGTTTTGGAACTTCTATACACAATATTTTATATTAGTATATGTTAGCAGTACATAATGAATATATTCATCATGGGGAATTTATACATGTACGTAACACATTTTAATTCTTTGTCCCCTCCCTCCAACCCTTCTTCTCTTCCTCTTTTATAAAACCTCTATTTCCAGGGCTGGGATCTTAGCTCAGCAGCACAGCACCTGCCTGGCAAGCGCGAGGTTGTGAGTTCTGTTCCCGGTACCGGGAAAAGAAAAAAATAAAACCTCTATTTCCATTCTTTTTCCCTTGAATTTTCTTTGCTTTAGATCCCTTTTTGCTTTCCCCCCTTTATCCCTCCCCCATCTCTTGTTCCCCTTGCCATTTGAAACTGTTCATCCTACTTCCTAATACCTATCCTCTGTTTTGTTCCTCATTTATACTTTGCTTTTCTCACATAAGAGAAGCAATGTGATTTTTAAACTTGTGTGTCTGATTCATTTCATTTGAGATTATGGTCTTGAAGGTACATCCGCTTACCTAAAAATGCCTAAAGTTTCCATTGTATATAAATACATTTTCTTTATCCATTCATCTGTTGATGGACATATGGGCCGTTTCTAAGATTTAGTATTAGAAATTACAGCTGGGGATATAGCTCAGTGGCATAAGTGCCTGACTGGCAAGTGCAAGGTCATGAGTTTCATCCCTGGTACAGAAAAACAAAAACAAAAACACCAAAGAAATTAGAAATTGTGTTGCAGTAAACATGACTTTGCTATAATGATTTTAACGCTTTCAGGAAGATACCTAGAAGGGGGATAGCTGGGTCATTATGCACAATATTTTTGTCCTTTGTCACTATTTTGCAACTTCTGCAGGTTTTCTTAAAGTAAGCTAGTGACTGAAAATAGTTTCTTAGAGGTATGTACTAAGGCACTAAATTGTCTGGATTTAGACTCTAACTGGGGTTGGAGGTACTCTAAGCTCATTTCTGTGCCTTGGTTTCCTTGTCTGTTAATGTGGCTTAGTGATTCCTACTTAGAATTACAGTGGTAATGTCTGTGAAGCTCTTAGGATAGTGCCTGGAAAGTGTAAGAGCTTAATACATGATAGCTGCTGCTTTCTGAGGTAGAATCTTTTATTTGTTCATTTATTTGTTTTCAAGATCCCTTTGTGAATTTAATGAAAGATAACACATGTCTTCCCACAAATGTAAATCTTGCATAATGAGAATCATTAAGGTCTTGAAAGTCCACCCATAGACCCCAGGTTGCAAACTTTTCTACAGCTTCTGCTACTGAAGAAGGAGAGAACTGAGGCCCTAGAAATTAGGCCCATAATAATGTACTCAAAATGGAACGTATTGACTTAAAGTAACTTTTTCATTTTCTGTCCTGTAACACTGGAAATTTTGTACTTAGTGTCCTGCCTCCACCTAAATAGCTGGGCTTATAGGTGTGTACTACCACACTTAGTAGGACAGAGATCTTTATCCTATATAACTGCACCTATTTTTTTCTTCAGTTTTAATTTATCCTTTAATTTATCCTCAACTCTGTATCTTTCCATGTCCTGGATAGGTTATGACTCAGTCTCTGCTAAGCATAAATATGTACTCCCCAAATCTGAGATGAATATGCAGTTCTCAGATGAACAAATACAAACAGCAAATAAATATATGAAAAATGCTCAACATCACTGGTCATTTGAGAGATGCAAATTAAAACAATGCTGAGATTCCATCTCACCCCAGGAAGAATGGCTATTATTAAGAAATCAACCAATAACAGATGCTGGAGGGGCTGTGAGGAAAAAGGAACCCTTCTTCACTGCTGGTGGAAGTTTAGACTGATGTAACCACTGTGAAAATCAGTGTGGAGATTCCTCAAAGAGCTAGGATTGGAGGTCCCATTTGATCCAGCTATTTCCCTTCTAGGTATCTTCCCAGAAGCATTAAAAATACCGTACTGCAGCAATATATGGGCACCCATGTTTATGGCAGCATAAACTGGTAATAGCTAGATCTTGGAAACAACCCAAATGCCATCAACCGAGGAATGGACAAAAAAGATGTGGTCTTTTTATACAGTGGAGCACTAGTTGGCCATAAAGAAGGATAAACTGGAGAATTTTATAAGTAAGTGGGAACAACTCAAGACCATACTCCCAAGTGAAATAAACCATACTCACATGTGTACATGTTGTTTCCCTAGTGTGAGAAGCTGAAAGAGTAAATAAGATCCAAAATGTACAATAAATATTGTAACATAGGAAGAAACTTTAAAAGGAGAGAGAAACTAGGAGGGGGGGGAATGGAGAAAAGGGAGGGAAAAGCAAAAAAAAATATATATATAAATACTACTAATTTCTCTTAGTTCAATGAAAAGAAAGGTTTGTGCTAATATTGTTTGGACAATTAAATGCTGATATCTTGTACTCTGAGTAACTAAAGATAACAATATGTAATGTATTAACCATTGTTATCCCATTGTTTTGAATTTTTTTTCTTAAAAAAATTGTACACCCCAAAAATCCTATATTGTGTACACTTAGAATTAGCTTCTTTAAATGGTGTTTTCCTTAGGTTACTCTTACCAAAATTCTAGGTTATCCAGTTACATTCCTTATCAGATTTATGTTTCTCAGACTGATGATCAAGTTCCTTATACTGTAACCATTTTTATCCTTTAATGCAGTGCTAGCTCCCAGCCTTCTGTTCCTTTACAACTTGCTGAGTTGTACTTTGATGCCTCATAAATTAGATAAATGGTGTGATTTATTGGGTGGTCATTCTGTCATGAGCACTGTCTACTGCTTTTGTGCATCTTTTCACCATACTTTTGTGACATGCATAAGAGGTAGAATGTAGTCTGCATATTTATAGATGAGAGCAAATTGCTCAAAAAAGCTATAAAGTGAGGACTTTCTATTCAGACTGCATCTTTCTGACTCCAGGGCCCATTATCTTACTCAGTGTGCTATACTGACTTCATTTAAGGTGACACAGGCTGGTTGGCAAGCTAGTCAGGGTCTCTACAAGTCAGTCTACTTTGTTAACTCATAAGTTAGCCCATAAATAAGTCTAACTCATGTTCACTGTAACTTTAGGTGTCTCCTCTCTCTCTTCCCACACTATACTTCAGGCTGGCCTCAAACTTGCAATCTCCCTGACTCAGCCTCTTAGAGTGCTAGGATGACAGTTGTGTGCTACCACACCCATCTGGCATAGTTCTTTATATAGCCCCTGACCTCATGTCATTCAGTCTGGAAAGAGATAAATATAGAATGGAAGAGCTATTACAGTGGCAGATGGGGGAACAGTTTATTCGGCTTAGACTTAGGGAAGGAGCTCAGACATAGGAAAGGAGCATGTTCATCACGGAGGGCATTTCTGGCTGAACACAAAGGAAGCCCAAGGAGAGACGATGCACCATAGGCTTAAGGAGCGGAATCATCTGGTATGGTTGGGTAGGCAAATGAGTTAAGAAAAGACATCTGAAAAGAAGACTGTCCTAATCACAAAGGGTGATAGTCACTGAGTCTGACAGGGGTGGGGAACATTTTTTTTTGAGACAAGATCTCACTATGTAGCTCAGGCTGGCCTCAAACTTACAGTGATCCTCTTGCCTCAGCCTCCTGAGTACGGGGATTACAGGTGTGTGCCACCATGTTCACTAGGTGGAACACTACTATTACAATTAAATAGGTGCATTTAAGTTGTTACATTTGTAAGTTCTGATTTATTAGATGAGAAATACTTATAAAATATTTAAAGGAAAGCTATTCAATTTATCAAGTGTAATAAACATTAATGTTTAGTAAAAAACAAAACTCAGTTGATCCTGATAAACTGGTACCCCCCCCATACCCAAATTGAGAAACAGGGAAAATAGCATACAGAAGAAAATACCTAGACCATACAGAGAAGTCATACAAATAAGCAGGCTCTTATGATTTAATGACTTCAAGCTAGGTTTAACCATTTTTGAAAACTGTCAATATACTTAGGTAAAATTAAAACTTTGGAAAATGAAAATGGTAGTTTCTCAAATGTTCACGTTAGTGAGTCTGAAGTTCTCTATCCTTGTACCATTAGATGCTAGTAATAAGCATGATTGGATACCCCAAAAAGTTTGTGATCAGTCACATAAGGGCATTCCACTATTCACAAAACCTGAACAAGAGTCTGAAACATTTCTTCCTAGTTTACTTTTTTAAAAAATTTATTATTTTTTTGTGATACTGAGGCCAGGGGCACTCTACTGCTAAGCAACATCCGTAGCCCTTAAATTGTTGGCCAGAATTTTTATTTTTGCAGGTGGTTTTTTCCTTTCTGTTTTTTTGAGACAGCTCTTGCTATGTAGTTCAGCCTGGCCTTGAATTCACTGTGTAGCCCAGACTGGCCTCTGAATTCAGTAATCCTCCTGCCTCAGCCTCCAGAGTGCTAGGATGTGTAGCACTTTTTTATTTTCTGAGATGAGATCTCACTAAGTGTCTAGGCAGGCCTTGACTTTGTGATCCTCCTCCCTCAGCTTCCAGAGTACAGGCAGCTAATGATCAGAGAACAAAGGACCATTTATAAGGTAATGTTTGTCTTCTTTAAACAATCTTACATCCAAAGTTCATTAAAAATTATTTATTTAGTAAAGAATCATTCTCATTCAGAGAATAAACTTAATAAACATAGGTCATCTTAAAAATATTATAGCAATTATTTTCTGAAGGTAATTTTATTAGTAGAGTTATAAATACAAAAATGAGGAAAGACTACCAGAAATAAGACATAATTTGTTTAACAAAGCTTCAAGAAAATCTTGATTATTACAATCTCTCTTATATTTTATAAGTGTTGCATATACAGTTTTAGCTTTTCAGAGCCCTCCACCAGTAAGGCACCTGCAATAGTAAACAAATTGCTACTGCAGCCTTCAGGAGCATCTCTTAGTGTAGTATTGGTGCTTTTCTAATTAAAGCACACTTTAGTCAAGACAGCCATACAGATACATCCCAAACTCAAAGTATAAACACTGCAACTGAACTGATGTACTGGAATAATAAATCCTAGGATTAACTATACCAGCTTCTCACAACTTACATGAATGTCATAAAAATATGAAGTACGAACACAGAGGTGGAATGGCAGCCAACTTTATGAAAGCTCACATTGAAATAAAGCAGTCTCAAGCTGTGGTGCAGCTATTCTGTTAGGCAGCATCCCGCACCTCATAAATAGCAACTACATACTGGTGTTGAGGAGCAACACTGTCCATTGCCTATCCGTGACTCGAAGTGGAGCACTCTTTATGTCTCCTGACTCCTTTTCTTTTGGCTTATGTGAGATAGCCCTGAAAAGGAAGATTATTGAGTGAAATATGATCTCCTGGAGTGTCATCTTCTTACTGCAAATATCCTGCATGCACAACAGGAGTCTCTGATGCAGCCAGTTTCCAAGCAGGGTTCCATGTCAGGTTCCCACAGACCTGGAGATCATGCAAACTTCTTCTTGGTGGCTGTGAACCTCTCCATGTACTGAAAATCATGAAAGAAGAGTAGAGATGTGATATTTTGGCATGAGAACATAAGCCTGCTTCTTTCTTAGGTTGCTTTGATTTTGTTTTTGTTGTATAATTTTTCCCCTTCGTAGTGCTAGGAATTAAACTCAGAGCCTCATGCAAACTAAACATGTGTCTACCACTGAGCTACATCTCTGTATTCTTCACTTTTGTTTCTCTTGGATTTGATCCATTTTCTACAAAACCTAATTCTAAATGTAAATCTAAAGCATGTAATTTTTTAAAAATTGTATTTTAATAGGAAACCTATCAAAGATGATTTACAGTGAGCTGTCTTATAGCTTGGTACAATACCACTTGCCTAGTTCCTTCCACCACCTACAAAATGGGGAAGAACAAAACTTGTTAGCTAGCTGGGCATGGTGGCACACTCCTGTAATCTCAGCACCCCAGAGGCAGAGGTGGGAGGATTGCTCCCAATTCGAGGCCAGCCTGGGCTCTCCATAGTGAACTCAAGGCCAGCCTGAACTACATAGTGAGATTCTGTCTTAAAAAACAAAACAAAAATGGCCTTGGTCATTCTCAGATTTTTCCTTAGACCCTAACTACTAATTGTTCGTAGAAACCTCAAGAAATACCCTCCACAGTTTTTTTCGGGGGAGGGGAGCAGGAGGTTTGCAAGTAGCCAATCTGAGAGCATTATTCAGTTCTTACTGCTAATTCGCTACTGCCCTATGTAACCCATTTCTGGCAGATGCGCTAGCATCCCCTGCAGCATAATAGGCTGCTGTACCACCTACAGCTATCTCAAGTGTCTCTGGTTTTGTTGTTATTAAAGGGCTAAAATCCCACACCAAAATGTCCTGCACTGTCTAAGGCTTCTGACAGTGAACCTAAATGGCATAAATTTAAAATATAATGCCAGGGGTTGTGGTGCACGCCTATAATCCCAGCACTTGGGAGGCTGAGGGAGGAGGACTGTTGTGAGTTCGAGACCAGCCTGGGCTACAAAGTGAGCTCAAGGCCAGCCTGAAATGCATAGGAAGACCCTGTCTCAAAAAGACTAGATAAATAAAATTTAAAAAAATAAAATAAAATAAAATATAAAATACTCCAGGAGGTTGAACTACTAGATTTGCTCTGGGAACTAAAAGTTATGCCGCAGTAGCACAATAGGCATTTGTAGGCATTTTTCTGACTATAGCTAAAATTTGTGATTTTTCACCTTTCATAGGTGCTCTAGGAACATAACCCCCGGGAATTTCAAGGGTCCACCGCACACTGACTCAATACATACCTTATCATAGCCTTCCAGTTCTCGAAGTTTCTTTATTTCAAAAAGATTGCCTTCCACAGCGAGCAGACAGATCTGGGAATCACTGAGGATGCTCTGTGGAAGCATGCTGAGTTCCAGACAGTTCTCCTCCAGGCGAAGAACTTTAAGGCGAGGACAGCAAGATATCTTTACTGAGATCTGAGATATCTATTGAACAATAATAACAGCAAAACAATAAAGGGAAAAACATAAGCTTTGTAATGATAACTTTTTTTTTTTTTGGTACCTTGCCGGGCAGGCACTATGCCACTGAGCTAAATCCCCAGCCCATGATTACTTTTTATTACATCAAAACAAAACAAAACATCTTGACTATTTGTCCTAGTTCTTTTTTCTTTTCCCACCTCCGTTTTCTCACAACCTACTCACTGCAGAAGCCTCCCTTATATACCTTCTGTTACTACTCCTCCACTTCCAAAATAAAATGTTTTTCTGAAGGTCATTAGAGGCGTTTTGGAAACAAAATTTTGTAAGAAGAGAATGTTCATTATGGAAAATGTGGGAATCACATAAGTTTAAAAAAGAAAATTCACCTGCAATCTACCACCCAGAAATAACCATCATAAACATTTTGGTACATTTACTGCCATCCCATTGCATGTACAAAGACACCAACCACTTCACTGCCATATCCGAGGATCCATTGTTCTTGTTCTTTTTTTTATTAGTAAATGTTTAACTTCATTTTCTTTTGCATTTGTATTATTCATCTCTTTTAAGAAAAATTGTATTAGGGGCCTGGGGATTTAGCTTAGCAGCACAGCGCCTGTCTTAACAAGTGCAAGGTCATGAGTTCGATTTCCGGTACCGGGGGAAAAAAAAATGTATTAGTGCATGTTTCAGGACATAATGATTACACTCATCATGAGTTGATACGTGTACATAACGCATCTTAATTCTTTTTACTTTCCTATACCCTCCACTCTCCTCTCCTTCCATCTCTTGGTTCCCTTCCCATTTCCAAAAGATCTGTCTCCGTTTTTTATTACCTCTTTTATTTGCTCTTTAACTATACTTTCTCACATAAGAGAAACCATGTAATATTTAACCCTGCATGTCTGCCTTAATGCACTTAATATTGTCTCAAGGTCTATCCATTTGCCTACAGATGAATCAGATTTATCCTTTATGGCAGAATAGTACTCCTTTGTATATAAATAATTTTTTTTTTTTTTTTGTCATTTTGATTTTTTTTT